GAGAAGTATTTGCTTCTGAAGTATAGCAAAGTATTTTTTTTTTTTAATTGAATGAAGTAAAATATATTGTCCATAGCTAAAACTTCAGATGGTTGGTGATGGCATTTATGTCCTGGCTTTCATTCAGATTTTCAGTGAAAAACAGCATTTTCAGAATACAACCTGCAGAACACCACCTATTCTCCAGTCACTCTCTGAAAAAGAAAGCTGCTGCTCGTGGGTAGGTTTTGGGACTGTATGTTCAGTGCTCATGGCCTCCCTAGCTTCAGAAATGTTCCTTTCAAATCATGCTTTATCTTCTGCATCACTTATTCAAGAACCCTGGCTCTTGATTTCTGTCTGAACATTTGTAGCTGCTATATAGTCAGACTTTTTTTTTGTTGTTGTTATTTTTCAAAGCTTCAAAGTAGTTTTCCTTCCAGAGGAGTTTGCTTCAAACTAAAGAAAAAAAGGCTTGACCGAGGCTTCAGGAGCAACTCCCCACCCTTTGCCAGTGTCAGCTGGCTCTGGAACAGCCCACCTGGCTTTTTCTCCTGTTATTGAACCCTCTAGAAAGTGAAAATCCCCAACATTACCTGAACGTGGCAGTGCTCACTTCTGTTTCCTGAGGGACCATGAGTGACAGCAGCCACGTCAGCTGCCCTGTACATCCTGTCCCCTCTGGATCTGCTGAGCCTTCCTTGCCAAGGGCCAATCTTCTGCATTAGTGCATGTCAAATTCCCTGTCCTGAGCCAACAGAGACTCCCTGGGCTTTACTTCACAGCCATTGGATAGTCATAGGGAATGAACTGAAGGTTTAGACTAGAACTCTGTCCTTTCAGCTGAGAACAGCTTGCCTTGCCCTCCTCAAGTGCTTTGCTGTGTGTGCTGCTCCTCTCTGGGTGTCTGGCACATGGAATTAGAAACAATTGTAGCTACAGTAGAGAAGTCATGGTAAACCTGTCAGGCACATTGTTTTGTGCTAGAGCTGACTCTTCCTCTGGCCCTGGGGAGTTCCTCCTCCCCAGCTGAGGGACACTCAGCTAACCCAGGCTGCTCCCTGGGAAAGGACATGCTCCATTACAGTGAGCAGTTGGCTCCAAGGCCATGCAGCTCCTCCCCAGTGCTCCAGGTCACTGTGAATAATTCAGATGTCAGGCTTCACTGCAGAAAGGCTGGTCTAGCATATTTGAAGGAGTTATTTCCAGCTCCTAAGTCAAGCACCAGCACCCTGGTATCCCACACGTGTCCTCCATTGTTTGTTCCCTCTGTCTGTCTGCAGCATGAGAATCCAATTACACTGCCTCCAAGAAAGCTCTCAGAATAAAAGCTCAAATCTTCTTTCAAGGGGATGCAATTCAGTATCTGGCAGAGACAGTTTGTGCCTAGTGCCTTCCTTCCACATTTTTCCCCCAAACAGGGATTTTTCTCAGGGAAAAAACAAAAGCCATTGGGACTGGTAAATTTACCACATTAGGAGTCGTAAATGTTATGATTTTGCCCAAAAGTCTGCCCTCATTAAGTGAAAATGTTTTGTAAAAGCTGGATTATAGCTGAAATGGCTCTCATGTTTCAGGAGGGTGCACACAGTGATTGATGTGGGTGGGATGGAGGAACACACAGGTGACCCTTGTGCTGCTGTGAGCTGAGCAATCTTTCCCTCCCCAGGAGCCAAACCCTGGCTCACCTGCACAGAAATTGGTTTTTTTTTAATTGTTAGCACCTGTCTGAATTACAGAGCTGCTTTATTTAATGTATTACTGGGGTATTCACTCTGTCATCACCGAATGTGGGTTATTTATTATGATCAAGTCCATGAAATGTCCTATAAAATTCCTGTGCCTGTTCGTCCCACGTTTTCTGAGTCACAAGAGCAGGAATAATCATTGCAAACGGAGAAGAATACAATGTCCCAAGTGCATCAAAGCAAATATAAAAAGAGAAAATGTTGCAGATTCATGGTATGTAAGAAATGTCCAGACCTTTATTTCTAACACACCTTTTGAGTGAGATAAAACTTCAGGGGTTGTTCTATAGCTCTTGTTGTTTCTGTTATTTATCAAACTTTTATTTCACGTAGAAAAGAGTAAACTATGAAACTCTCTAGGGCAGAGAAATCTTGCAAGAAGCTGCATGGTGCAACAAACACATTGAATTGAATTTTCCTCATTTGGACTTGACAATTTCAGCTGTTGAATTTTCTCCCTTTGGATGAGGCTCGGGCACTGAAACTTCCTGTCTGCTTCCAGCTGCTTTCAGCTCTGAATGGCAGGGCAGAGACACTTTCTTTTTCAACCCAAAAATCTGATTATGGCACCAGCAGACCTTTGTTTAGGCTTTGCCAGGATCCCTGCTCCCAGCTGGCAGGAGAGGGGATTCTCTCAGGGGCTGGACACTCCTGGTGGGTGCTCTGGGCATCAGCTCTGGGTGTCCTGAGTGCAGACCCAAAGCAGAGTGGCCCTTTATCTCCAGCAGCTCTCACCTCCTTTCCTGATGACATGGGAAGCCCACACTCAGCATCAGGAGTGCAGCTCAGGGAAGGATGGATGAAGAAGACCAAGGCAAGAAACCAAAGAATCCACAGCTGGAACATGATGGGAATATCTGCATTAGGAAAAGTTTTAATGCAGTGGCCTCAGGTTCACAGGATTTCTCATCTGCCTTCTTGTGAAGTTTTTACATACCTCATAAATATGAAACATAACAATCTGCAGGGACCTGTGGGGACAATTTTATTCAGTTTTCGAGCTCAATACTCCAGTGATGACAGCATTTTCTGTACATCTTCGTGGGAGCAGACTGGGACAAGCATTTGAATGCAGGTACCCACTGAGCCTATAGTAACAGCCAGCAGAGAAAATCTCCACTGCTATTATGATTTGCCTCATCATTAAATTTTGTCCAGTAGTGGAGATGAATCATGTCTTTGGAATTCATTTCCTTAAAATAAGCTTAAATTCAGGTGCAAGTGCAAGCAGCCTCGACCCTGGATGCTTTTACATGCTGTACAATGAGTGTGACTGCTGAATTATCTCACTTCTCTCTGTCAGGCAGGAACAACTCCTTGGAGGGAAGTACAGGAAAGATTCCATGAACCTACTGAGCTCAGGTAATTGTTCCCAACAGCCCCTTGGCCTCCATGGGCAAAGGCAACGAATCATGGCAATGTCCTGTGAAAATGTTTGAAATCTGGTGTTTTCATGTTCCCAAGGATCTGAATTTTTATAGTATAGCTCTGATTTCTCTGGGCCTCATCAACATTGATCTGCTGATGAGATTACATTAGATCACATTAGATCTGCTCAGAAGGTGGATATGCATCTCAAGTGACATTTCAGCAATCTGACATTTCTTTTCAAAAGAGCATTAACAAGGAGAATGCTAAATAATCTCACAAAAAATGAAAATTTCCAATAATTTGTGTCTCAAGTAGTGTCAACATGTGAAAGTCAAAAATCTTCTACAGGAACAAAGGGTGGCACAATCACCTGGATGGCTTGGCAAAAGTGCATTTATCCTATGCTTTGTCTGTCTGCCTGAGAGGAGCCAGCACCAATGCATGATGAGCCCCAAATCCTGCTTTGAGCAGCTCAGAATGTTTGCAAGTGAATAATAACTGCAGCAAACCAGCATGTGATTGCTGAAGTGTTTGTACCTGCAAGAGAATAAATCTGTTCTGCAGGAATATGGGATGAGAGTCACCCCCCTCTGGCACCTGGGACATCTCACTGCTGTTGGGGTCATGCATGTGCATGTTTCCCCCTCAAATCCCAGTACCTGAACCCTGCACTGTTTTGAGACTCAGGGAGCAGAGGGGAGAACTCCAGCTTTCGTGGCAGTGGACAAAACACAAGTGCTGCTGTGCCCCCTCTCCCTCCTGATGCACAGCAGGGAAAAGGCAGGGAAATGGCAGAGGGGCCTGTTGGAGCCATATACAGCAAAGGAGCCCAGGGATGGAGCCCTGTGTGTTCCTGCAGCCTCTGCCAGGCTGCTGCAGAGATGCCAGAGGTGCCTGAGTGCTCTGGGGCTCAGCACAGACCCAGCCCAGCCAGGATGCAGAGTGGCCATCCTGGGTGCCCCCCGTGCATGCAGGGCTGCTGCTCCTGCTGTCAGATTGCATTTCACTTGCCACTCTATCCTCTGCACCACATGAGAGCAGGAAGGGGCTGGGGCCGAGCACAAGGGCCTCAGATGTTCTCTGCTAAAACTCTGGGATGAAGAGAAAGAGAAGTGCCACAAAGTAGTGAAGATGCTTCACCCCCATGCAGCACTTGTGCTGGGTGTCCAGAGAAGAGCAGAGAGCAGACAGGGGAGATCATAGCACATCCACCCTCCATCTGTGTTTTGCTGCTCTCTGGATCTGCACATGTCAGGCTGCGCTGTTGCCCACGTGTGGGTTGTGATACACCTCAGGAAAAACTGGGAAGAGATCTGCCATTGGCTCCTTCCTGTGCAGTGTGTCATCTGGCAGCTGTGTATATCACAGGGAACACAGGGACCATTCTGCTGATGAACAAAGCTGCTTCACTGAGTTGTCAGAGATACTTGGAGGGGGAATAGCAAAGCGAAAGGCAGCCCTTGATTTTTTGTTTCTGCCAAGCTCTGAAAACTCTTGGGAAACGGAAACCTGATGGATTAAGGACTGTGTGGAGAACCAGTAAAGCAGATTTCCGAGGATAAATTGCAGATTGAAGAAGAACAGTGCCCAAAAGGAATTATTCACTAAGATTTATTCCTTGGTGCAGAGAGAAAGTGTTTGGGGATCTCTGATATTTCAGCCTCTGAATCAGCATCTCTGAGGGGGACATATGGGACTTAAGGACAGCCGACAGGGAGCCTCTGAGGTGAAGCTGATGTGTCCCCAGCACAGGCAGAAGGACCCATTTATCGATCCTTTTCTCTAACTCACAACCATGGGGCAGATTTTTAAAAGGCAAGTGTGTGTGTTCCCTCCTGCAACCACTGGCTTTAGCAGCTGAGCTGGCAGAAGGCGCTGACGAGTGTGGCTGGACCGGGCTCTGCTGCCCCAGCCATGAGACAGCACACCTGGTTCCCCTTGCAGTACATGCCCAAGCCCTTCTGGAGAGCAGAGAACCACAACACCACCAGCTTCTTCTCTGCACTGTACGGCTTCCCTAACCAGTCCTTCTTCCACAGTGACTTGAACCTGGAGGACCTGGGGGACTTTGATAGCGGAGCCAAGTACGAGGGCGAGTCCCAGAGCCGGACAGTGCAGGCGCTGCTGATCATTGCTTACTCTGTGATCATCTGCATCTCTCTCTTTGGCAACATCCTGGTGTGCCACGTGGTCATCAAGAACAAGAGGATGCACTCTGCCACCAACCTCTTCATCGTAAACCTGGCTGTTGCTGATGTGATGATCACCACCCTGAACACCCCCTTCACACTGGTGAGCCCCGTCCAGCCGTGCCTGCCGGTGTCTGTGTGTGCCTGTCAGCTGTGTGCACTGGGATTGAAGGGCTGGGACCAGGCTGGGATCCAGAGTTTCTTTTGCCCCCCTACCCCTTTTGCCTCCTGGAGAGGGTGCAGTCATGGCCCCCATCCCAAACACCCCCTGAGCAAGTGGAGCTGGGGGCTCACACCCCCTCCTCACAATCCATTGCAGGGGTCCCTCTGCTGCAGCTTCCCCCTCTGCCTGGGCAAGGCACAGGTCTGGGAGCCCTTTTTGCCTGTAGATGGGGAAGGAAGTGGGGACAAGTTTGACACGAGAAAATCCAGCTAATGGCTGGTTTCCTATGGAAACAACATGAACCAGGTCAGTCCTTGTGCAACATCTCAGGGAAGTGCTCAGGCTGCACTGAACAGTGTCGGTGGCGTGTCCCTCCCTCGGCCACTACAGACAGTGCTTCCTGGGGTTAATGGTCCTTTTTTATTTTCAGTGACTAAAAATACATATGATATAAAATACTATTAAATGAATGAGGTGGGAAAAATGAAAGATTAATTTCTTGCCCCACTGTCACAGACTATACATGCCATGTACACAGGACTCTGCTCCTGGATTTAACCCAGCACTCCTGTTCAAAATCCTCCTGCTTCATCCCTGCCCAGAGCGCTCTTCAGCCTTCCAAAAGCAGGTTTTGAATTAGTTATTGGAATTCACCCTTTCTTAAATTGATGCTGTTCCTTTGGTGGGACTTCCCTGCCTTGCTCTGATGGGATTTGCATCCTATAATTTGTTCAGGGAGAGCCTGGTGCCCTCTTGTGTGTTCACACACAAACAGCCACACACTGGGCACGTGTAATTAAATTTCTATCAGCTCTCTCAGGAACGAGCTTTGCACCAGCTCCAGAGATCCAGCACACTGCTCCAGTTCAGTGACAGTCAATGCTGCAAGATTCACCCCTACAGGGAAATGAATTAGACTAATTGAAAACAGATTAGCTAGTACAATTTTCTGTGGACAGATGCTTTGTAGTAAATATACTTTACTTCAAATTAGCTTAATCTGCAGAAAAATGAGTGACATTAATTTGTAATTAATATTACACAGTCAGGAATAACAAGGGAATGAGGCAATTTGGCACATTCTCCTCTGCAGAAAAGCCATCATCAGTAAGACCTCTCTGGGAACAGGTGAGATGGATTCCATGGATTTCTCTCACTAAATTTGGAGACCGTGCAGCTTTCAGCATCCAAAGGTATAATGTTTTCTGGGAGGCAACTAGTGTGCCCTGCAGAGCCTTAGCCTCAGAGCTAAGATTTCATGTGTTCTAGAAGGGCCATGGTAAATTTACAAGTGTACACATGTACACAACATGCACACAGCACTGCTCAAGCCATTGGTTTGCACAGTGCAGTAAGTCTCACCTTACTTTGAGACCCTCTTACACAGTCACTCTTTCTCTAGGAAAAAATGAGGATAAAGCACCTCCAAAACCTCAGGAAGCTGTATTAAAGCACCTGGGAAGCCAATTTGCTTCTCTTTGGGTACTGCTCCTCTTAATCTGATGTTGTCTGTCCTCCAGGTGAGGTTTGTGAGCAGCACCTGGGTTTTTGGAAAGCTGATGTGTCACATCAGCCGCTTTGTTCAGTACTGCTCTGTCCACGTGTCTGTGCTCACCCTCGCTGCCATCGCACTGGACCGGCACCAGGTATGTTGAAGACACCACTCCTGTGCTTGCTAGAAAATAATGTGCTAAATACATATTTGTTTCCTCCTCAAATCCCAGTACCTGAAACCTGCACTGTTTTGAGACTCAGGGAACAGAGGGGAGAACTCCAGCTGTGGACAAAACACCCATGTTTTTTACAGTGAGGGTGGAGAAATACTGCAATGGGCTGTCCAGAGAGGTTGTGGTTTGTGGGAGTCTCTGTTCCTGGAGGTACTGAAAAGCTCGGGAGATCAGTGCCAGACAGCCTGGTCCAGCCCTGCTCTGCCTGAGCCATTGGTCCAGCCTGGTCCAGCCCTGCCTCAGAGCACAGGGAATGAGTGGTGAATTCAAACATCAGCCAGCCCACACGGTCTCTGCACACAGATTTATGAGAGTCTGTCTGTTCCGACGCTTGCCTCATTCCTTGCCTTAGGCTGGAAACAGTAAGAACGATGTTAACTCATCCAGTTCAAGGTCAGAAATTCTCTCCTACTCCAGCCCTGTGATACTTCCCAGCCAGGAAAACCTTTCAAGTCAAGCAATCAGTACAGACTGAAGGGTTTCCTTAAGTGAAACAGAGTTTGTAATTTGTTCTTTAGCTGATGAGCGCTGAGTGCTGGGAGGCCAGATCCAGCAAGGTGAGCTCTCAGGTAGATTGGATTTCTTGCAGTCCTGGAGTCACAGAAAAGCAACTTCAGGTGATAAATGCCGAGGCTGGATGAACTTCAAACCAGGAACTGGCTCCACCTGGTGTCAGAGAATCACGGGGTCTGCTGAACCACAATCAGCCACTTCTGTCCTTTTTACCACAAAGAGTTTGACAGTCTGCCCATTTCATGTGCACTATTACAGCTCCTGAAATCAAAGCACTTTGACAATGATTCATTTTAATCAGTAGATTCTGAGTTGATGGCAAGGCATGGCTAGGTATCAAGAAGTGTTTAATTAAGGGCAAAAAATACATGCCCTTTAGTTCAGTGGAGGAGTTTCCTCAGGGCTGGAATGAACTAGTATGGCCCAAGGAGATAAAGACAGAAGTGAGGAGATGTCCTGGACTAAAGAGAAACCAACACTTGCCTCTATAAATATTGCTAATCCTGAGAAATACCACAGCAGACAGATACTCTGGGGGAGCTGTACAACTTGATTAAGTAGGTATTTATAATGGGACTAGAAATGACATGCATAAAATACCGAAGACCTCATCAGCCAAGAGATCATCTGGATGGCATGATAGGTCTATTTTTAATTACTGTTTCATTGCCTAAGGTAATCCTCCACAGTGCTTATAGCTCAACAGAGAGCTCACTACCGTGGTCTCTGGCATCCTGCTGATGGGTCATACAGAATGTGTTTCTCTGCTCAGGCTCTGGGCCAGCAGTAACATCCAATACACACACAACTTCATGCATTTCCCAGCCCTTGTGCTCCCTGAAGTCCTGTAAAGTGAGTCTCTCTGCTGTGGAGAGATGTGGAGATGTGGAGCTGCTGCTGCATGTCACATGCAACATGGGGCTTAAAGAGTGACCAAGACGCTGTAAATCCTCAGGAGTTGTTGTTCTCTGCAGGTGATCATGCACCCTCTCAAGCCACGCATGTCCATGGTGAAAGGAGGGATTTGCATCATCATCATCTGGGTTATGGCCAGCTGCTTCTCACTGCCCCATGCCATTTATCAGACTCTGACAAAGTTTTATATTGGGTAAGACATTTACATATTTTTTGTTGCATGATATTTGCAAAGCCCCAGATAAGCCAAGGCCACACCCCTCCATCCATGATATTAGATATTAGATATTAGGTGAAACAGAGAAGTTTTAGTTCCCTTCACATGGCTGCTGTGTCTGTCACAAAGGGACAATGACAATCGATGGAATTGTTTCCAGGTTGGTTCATTAGTTGTTTTGGGCTCAGAGGTTCAACCATGTAATTTGGGGTAGGGACAGGGGAGAAAGCCTCCTTGTCAGCAGAGGATACAGATGCCAATATGGATGATTTCTTTCTTTTCCTGGGGATGTGTTTAAGATAACCTTCACTGGAGCCAAAGGTCAAACCTAGAGTAAAATTTTCCATTGAAAGTGGCACCTTCCTATGACATCAAACGAGTTCTGCTATCTGTACCTGTACTGAAACTTGTCTGAATGTCTGGGCTGTTTGTCCTCAGATGTGCAGCTGGTAGTGGAACTGAGAGCTCTTTCTCTTTGATCTTCAGAAACAGAACCATCCGAATGGTCTGCCTCCCCAGCTTCCCTCCTCCTGCTGATCTTTTCTGGAAGTACTTGGACCTGACTACGTTTGTTCTCTTGTACGTTCTGCCCTTGCTTGTGATCTCCATCACATACACCATAGTGGCCAAGAAGCTCTGGCTGAGGAACGCCATCGGGGACCTCACCATGGAGCAATACTATGCCCACCAGAGGAAGAAGAAGATGACGCTGAAGATGCTGATGGTGGTGGTGGTTGTGTTTGCCGTGTGCTGGTTCCCCCTGAACTGCTACGTGGTGCTGATCTCCTGCAGGGCCATCCACAGCAGCAACGCTCTGTACTTTGCTTTCCACTGGTTCGCCATGAGCAGCACCTGCTACAACCCCTTCATCTACTGCTGGCTGAACGAGAGCTTCCGCGCGGAGCTGCGCTGCCTGCTGTGCGTGTGCCGCCGCAGGAGCACGGCTCAGGGCCACGCTCTGCAGCCCATCTCCCCCCTGTTCCGCCGGGCCAAGCCTGAGAACTGCCCCTGCAAAAGGAGCAGCACGTGCCAGAAGGCACAGGCCCCCTCCCAGAGGAACTCTGCAAGGACGGACATTTCCAGCGTGCAGCCGATCGTGGCAGAAAGCTGAACCTTTCATCTGACAGCTGGGCAGCATCACACAGGGATTGCAAAACCATGGGGAAAATGGGTTGGGAAAGGGCTCTGGAGACCATCAACTCAACCTACAGCATGCAAACTTCAACCTTTGACTGGGTCATTCAGGACCTTGTTCTCTCAGGTATCACAATTCTCTAGGGATGAATTGCCCACTTGTGGGCTCCAGAATTAGGGGTGTTGAGTGAATTTTTCATTAGAACAGTCAGCAAAAATGAAAAGAATTATTTAACAGCACACAAAGCCTTTCATGGTCTAAGCAAACATGGGGAAGCTACACTGGTTATACACACACCAGCTACACACTGTGGCTTGATGTAAAGCTGTTAGGGCTTTAACTTTGTGAATTGACATTTCTCGGCATAAAATCTAAATAATTTTCACTTTCAATAATATTTTATTTTTTACCAGTCCTCAAGAACTGTGTTCTTTGTGGATTCCCTGCCAGCCTGGCAGCCCTTCCCCTCTGGGTCAGCCTGTCTCCCTGTCCTGTAGTTATCCTGTGGGCAGCAGCAACCTTTAAGCAGCTATGGAATTGGGGGTTCTGCCTTTGTCTGAGATGGAACCAGCAAACCAGACCTGCAGGTTTTCAACCCAAAAGGCAGGAGATGGAAGAAGTTTTACCTGTGACATGTAAAGGGTCATGTATTCCCTGCTCAGTTAAACTGAGCATCAGACAATGTGCCACAGCATTCACCTCAAGCACAGATCCTTGTGTTGCAGCTACATTGCTGGTGGCAGGGCACACCAGTGATGGTCCTGGTCCAAACAGTGTCTCTGGAATTCAAGAGATAGCTGGGATTCCTGGAGATGTGTGTGCCTGACAGCTGGCACCAGCAGCTGCTGCTCTGGGGGCTCACAGTGGAGCCAGCCACCACATTTCAGAGCTGGGTTTGGGTCACTAGAAAGAGATGAGAGCACATGGCCAGCTTCAGCCTATGGCTATGAAAAGCCACCAAAGTTGTGTTCTCCTCTTTCTCAGAAAGAATTACCAGTTTCTTTCTGTCCATTCTGCACTGGCTCAGCCCTCTTGTTGGTAAAGGGTTGAGCTTCAAAAGACAGTGAAAAGGAAATGAGCTTCAGTCTTCCCATGCAAAATACTCTAAATTACACCTCTATAGCTGAGCATTTCCACCCAGACTGGCAGTATGTCACAGCTGCAGGCCTGCGTGAAAGGCTGTTTCAATTTGGAAATCAAGATGCTTTGAAGGGTACAAAAATATGTGACCTGAGAATGTATTTGTATTTCAAAAAGAAACTGCGAAGGGGAGGAAGGAGTAAGAGTAATGGTAATCTTGCTTTTTCCTAAGTTATTGTAGGAAGGAGGAGGACAACTACAGCTGGGACAGGGACCTGGCTTGGGACACTGCAAATCCCAGTGGCATTGACAGTACCAAGTCTGGGCTCCCATCTGAGGCACAATGATCTCTTTTCCTTCATATCTGCAGGAATTACTTTGCAGAGGATTTGCTATGGGGAAGAAATGGAATTAGAAACATCTCCTCAAAGAGCAAATACCCAGGGCTCAAGTATTGGCTCTGACCAGGTGAACTTTTGATTTGGTTCCACTGGAGTGGAGTCCTGCTGGAGCTGGCACCACAGAGGGAGTACCAAAACCTTTAATTCTGTGTTACAAGTAAATTACAGCATTAACCAGACATCACTCCTAACTGGGTGTTTTACTGTCTGGAAAACTGGGAATCCATGACACTGCAAATAGCATTTCCCTACTATTACTGTCTGGAGGTTTCTATAAACAAGATGTCTCTTCTTAAAAAAACAAACCAATCACAAATGCAAATAAACATTGTTACTGTAACTTAGTAAAACTTATTCAAATGCTCTCCTCTTTACATAGGAAAAAAATAAATGAGAATAAATAACGCAGCTTGCATGTATATCCCCACCCACTCCCAGAGAACTGTCAAACTCCTTACTCTGGGCTAAATAAATCAGAGTCTGTTCTTGCCCCCCATCCTTCAGCAGGTCAGCATGCTGGCTCAGCATCCCTCAGCCTTGTGTGGATGGACGGATGGTGCAGGCCAAGGTCAAAGCCACGGGCTGCCCATCTGCCCTTGGCAGCAGGGAGACATCATCCCTCACCTGGCAACATCATCCCTCACCTGGAAACATCATCCCTCACCTGGCAACAGCTCTCCAAGGGATGGTTTGCTCCCAGATGAAAAGCTGACATTGTTTCTTCAGAGCACATCCATCCCATGCTGATCCTTGCACAGCAGTGCTTTCCTCATTAGGAGTTTGCAGTCTGGCAGTGTTGAGCTGCCTTAAAAAACATCATTTCTTTGAGGTGATTGTTTCTGTAAAAGTCTGGCAAACCTCCTTCTGATTACACACACCCTCCCACCGGATGCTCTTGCTTTAATACGCGCTCTGTTAAAATATCTGTGTGGTTGTAATAGAGTAAGATTTGATCCACCAATGTTCTTTGGGGGCTAACAGTCAAATAAAATACTGGTTCAGCACCCTCGCTCTCCTCTGGGTTTTGTGCAACTTTCAAGTCATGAAAAGGAGATGATATTCCCTCTTACAAGAGGATTAGCAAAAAAGCCAAGACTGCTGCTCGTGGCAGACATAAACACACGATCAAAACTTTTGTCTCCACGTGTCTTGACTTCTTTCAGCATGAAAAGTCCTTTGCACAAAGAAGTGCTGTGGTTACCCAGGTGAGGAGTCAGCCATGGATGTGCCCTGACTGCAAATGCTCTTTCATTGCCATGTGCTTCCCTGCAGCTCAGGCAGTCTGTGGCTGGTCCCAGCAGCACTTTTTGCCTGGCACGTTGGTACAGGCAGGAGCATGGGATACTTTGAGATCTCCTTGAATTTAATTGTTATTCTCCAATAAACACTTCCATGAAGAGAAGCATAGCCTGATCAATTCCTTGTGCATTTCTCCTGCTGGGATGCTCAGCCATCCCCAGGACACTCCCCTCCCCGTGCTGGGGAGCTCGTGCTCTCCCTCAATGAATGCAAGCAAAGAGGGCAGGAACCCTGCACAGCAAGTCTGCTACAGCTCTGCCACACATGAAAACTGATCATCAAATTCAGATTTGTTTGGAAGGGGCTGCTCAGTAACAACACGTGTGCTGTGACTGTGCCAGCCTCAGGCTCACTGGGAAAGCTGCAAGTAGGGCAGCAAGAGCTGGGGCAGGTAACTGGTCACCAAAGATGATGCATCAATTTCCAGCTATACATCTACTGAAAAACAGCCATATGCCAAATACAGAGCCCTGCAGCTACATCAAAATAACCCTTTAGCATTCAAAGTGTTAAAATCGGGTGATTGCACCAAAAGAAGAGACTATTTTTATTGCCCTCTCTGAAGAGCTGTTTCTTATCTCTTCTTTTGAAGAAACTTCCCAAGCAGAATAATGAACCTACACTGTGAATCATTTAACCAGCCCTGATGAGCTTGTGCAGCTCCACAGAGGGCTCACAGCCTTTTTGAGTCACTTCTGAGTGATTAAAATGAAAGCTGTTAGATGGGTTCACTTCAGCATTGCCCAAAGCACTCTGGCACCCTCCAAATCCAGACCAAATGATTTTAGTTTGAAAAACAGGGAGATGCAGGAATAGGAATGTGTAAGTCAGAGGAATGGGAAAGACATCCCTCCATGGAGGGTTCCTCTCTCTTTGGCTTTAACTGTGGTAAGAAGACATCTGAGAGTCTTCTCATAGGGTGCTCTACCCCCCAAACCACAGTGTTGAACACACCAGAGGGGTCACCTGAGCTGATACTCAGTTTGGGATTGCTGCTATTGTCAAAGAGCCCAGTGCTCATTGCGCAGGAGTTAAGCTTGCCAGTGGAGTAATTATTAGCTAACTGAATAACTATTAAGCTGGTAAAACCAAGTTACTTGGTCTGACACTTTACTGCTACTGTGGACTTTGATCATTTAAAAAATTTTTTATCCCTGACTCAGGTACAGGAATTGCTTCTTCTTGATGATTTTTCCATACAAGAGAAGTGTTAACTCACACAGTTCAATTGTTTTCACCGAGACTGGTATCTCAGGTGAAGAAGAGTGGCCCTGGTCTCTTACACATCAAAATGAGAAGCCACTCATTTTTTTTTTTCACAGGAGGACAAAATTCAACTTTCTCAAGTGGAACATCCTCTTCTGTGGCATCTGCATTGAGCTGTAAATGATCCTGAATTCATTTTTATCTTTAATATTCCTCTGTCATTATGTGGACAAAAGTAAGTAGGGTTTGTTTTGACATTCACCTCACAGAAAGCTGGTGTAAAGTGTCTCCCAGGATGTGTGTGGGCAAGGGGCTGGGCATGGGTGGCTGCCACAAAGATGGGAGAGAGCCTTCAAGCACAGGGACACTGCAGGAGCAGGATGGAGCACGGAGGGACCGAGCTGCTGGCAGCTTTTGGGAAAAATGAGGGCCTGAAGGGCGGCTCATGACACAGGCTGTCTCCTGTCCCAATTCTCACCCAGGAAGGAAGGGTGAGAATCACCAAAGGCCAGGAAGAGCAGAGTATTTTTCAGCTGGAATGTGTCACACTGAGGTCCTGTCATTGCTGAAGGCCTTATGACTCTTTATAAGATCTGCATTGCCAACAGGGCTTTATACAGGTACTTCATACACCTGGGCTGGCTCAGCTGCTTCACCTCTGCCTGTCTGTGAAATGCAGGAATTGATGTCACCAGTGACATCAATTTTTATTTTTATTTTTATTTTTATTTTTATTTTTATTTTTATTTTTATTTTATTTTTTTTTTATTTTTATTTTTATTTTATTCCTGGAGGTTTGCTTTGCTGTGTTCCAGAATGTGAGGTGTGGAGAAAGTGCCCACTCAAACACCACTCAAACCGGGACATACCCTGTGGGTTTTCCCCCGCACATTCCAGCTCGCTCGGCTGCTCCTGTGCCAAAGGAAGTTTTGAGTTCAATGAGCAGGAAAATCCGCACGGGTCTCATGGCCACAGTGGTCCGGGGAGCCCAGGGCTGAAGTGCCGCTATCTAATGA